CATTTCAAACTATTGTATCTCTGAAGTGTTTGGACATGCGGAGGAGTTCCACCGCTGCTGAGATTTGGCGTGACTTATGAAGCTGCCTCTGGCTGGATGCTGTTACTACGACAGGGGTGCCCAACTCCAGTCCTGGGGGGCCAGAGCCCTGCACATTTTTGGGTTTCCCCTCATTTAACACACCTGATTCAACTCCTTGTGCTAATTACCACACAGCTCTTGGGCTGAATCATTTATGGTGAAACAGGGAAAGAACTAAGCTACACAGGGTCCGGCCCCCCAAGACTGGAGTTGGGCGCCCCTGGACTACGAGGTTCCTCCTGATAGCTGTTGCTGTGGCTTTATCTGTGTTAACAGCAGGGGTCAGAAGCAGCAGCGTTGCAGTGCCTGGCACATGCTGACCGGTCCATCCAGAGTTCTTTGGGCTTACCATGTTCCTGCGTGCCTCTGCAAAGAGCCGCTTCTCCTCGTCCAGCCGGCGCCTCGCCTCCTCTTCAGCCTTCCTGTGCTCCTCTTCCTGTCTCTGGCGCTCTAGGTCCTCGAAGCTGATGGCCAGCTTGCCGGGCTTGGCGTTCTCTGCGCTCAGCATGGCAGCGAGGATGTCGCCATCGTCGTCGAGGACCTGCAAAGGGGCGTCAGGCTGTAAGCCCCTGCCCTCGCCGGAAAACTCACCTGACCTTTCGGCCTGGCTTTGCTCCCAGAGGAGACCCCAGCTGACCATGCTCTTTCTGGCCTCGGCGAAAGCCGCCTTCTCCTCTTCTATGCGTTTCCTGGCCTCCTCCTCCACGCGCTTAAGTGCTCCCTCCAGCCTCTGCTTTTCCAGCTCCTCGAAGCTCAGCTTCAGTTTCCCCGGTCTGATCTCCTCCTTTGTTGATAGAGGGTTCAGCTCCTCGCTCCCGGTTTCCTGAAATGCCAGTACGGGAGAATCGGCATCCCTGTGGGAGTGGTGTGACGTCTGCCGGCTTGCTGAGCTACAGGTGGCGTGTGTGAGGTACCATCTGCAGCCGGGCCTCCTCGAAGGCCCGCCTCTCCTCCTCCAGGCGCCGCCGGGCCTCCTCCTCCGCCAGCTGTCGCTGTTGCTCCTGCCGTTCCCTCTCCAGCTCCTCAAAAGTCATCTTCAGCTTGCCTGGGGTCATCTGCTCCTTCTCTGTGGGCTTGGGTTCATTTTCGTCCTTGTAGGGTGACAGATTGTACAATGCAGTGAGGTTGTGAATAATCTTACTTTAGGAACACCATACCAACATACTTGTAGTACAGCGGTTTAAAATATATCTGATTGGCAGGATTTTTATGTGCAATAAATTTTTTTGGATAAACAAACCTGTGTCGCTAAAGGGTTAAATGTTTTGCACATATCATTCCCAAGTTTCCTGTTTCTGTGCATGAATGACTTGCAGACATATAGCCCCCCCACAAAATGGGACAGGTCTACGTGACACACAGCTCACCTCTGGATGCTGGGAGCACCTCTTGGCTTCTCTGAAGGAGCGCCTGTGCTTCTCGTACCGTTGTTGCTTCTCCTCCTCTGACTTCTTCTTCTCCTCCTCTTCTCGAGCCTTGCCCAGCTCCTCGAAGTTCACCTTGATCTTACCTGGAGCCTTGGAGGGTTTGTTTGGCACCACCTTGACGAGCAGGGAGCTGTCCCCCTCCTGCATGACGAAGGGTGAGTGAGGAGTGAGAGGGCGCTGCTGGCCTCTGGGGTGCAGCTGCCCGGGCGGGGAGATGTCACCCAAGAGGACATGGAGCCTGCCCTCTCTAACTTTCATCTGTGGCTTTGCAGGAAGATGGCCGACTTCATCACAACATAACCAGAAACAAACAGAAGTGCTCATCGTCACGTTTCTCTTTGTGGTGCATTAATAAAGGTCAGCAGCCATGTTTGTGATGTTCCCAGGCGTGAATGAAATCGAATGAAGACAGTCACCGAGCTGGAGGCTTTGCGTTTACCCCTCTGAGGCGCATGGTTTATTTCAGGCTTGCCCTCCTGGCCATTTCCCTGGTTTATTTTGGCCTCTGCCTTGTGTTTATGAAAGACAAGGAGCTACATCCTCCTGAGGCGGATGAGGGCCTCCATTAGGCTGAGATTAAGGGGCGACTTTGGTGCTGCATGATCCAGATGAAAATCATGTGTATAGAGGCAGGCCATGTCCTGCTGTTAAATGTATGCTACAGGCCCGGCACATAAGTTAGCCCAGAGGCGGCTGCCCTGGAGGATTATAGATGTATTCCCGCCCACCCTGTGCCTGCCCCGCCCCACCCCACCCAGGGCACCCACCTCCTCTGCTTTCTTGGCCAGTTCCCTCTGGATCTTTGTCTTCTCCAGTGTGTCCTGTGTGATACGCCTCTGTCTCTCCTCTTCTGCCTTCTTCCTCTCCTCCTCCTGCCGCTGTTTCTCCATCTCAGCGAACTTTCCCTTGACACTCCCTGTCAACATGGATGCTCTCACGTTGGCACGGGGCTCCTTCACCACCAGCGAGGCACAAACGCAGCAGACCGGCCCACGCGCAGTTCCTGCTGGCCTACCTGTTATCTTGGGGACGTATGATTTCTCCTGCTTGGCTGGCTTTGCCTCCTCCTCCTCGTCGCTGGACGCCAGGAGCTCTTTCATCTGTGGGAGTACAGACATGGTTTATCCTGGATCCTCTCCTGAAGCCGCAGTGGTCCGCCATAATTCCTCCAACAGCATGTGCCAGTGAGGATGGGTGGGATCCCCACAAGCCACGCGGAGGGCTGGAGCAGATCATGTCCTCGGATTCTGCTCTTATAAATGCTACTTCCTGTGCCCTGGCTGAGCCGTGCTGGTGTCCCGCATGCAGCTGAGGGTGGCGTTCCTCGCTTGAATGCACACAAGCAGGCTTCTGATTAATGACCCCCCCCCCCCAGTGGTGATTTCAGCCACTTAACTCTGTCATGCACGTCACACCCGTGATGTTTATTACAGATTTTCTGTGCTTCTTCAAAAGCAGTGCTTCCCGACCCAGCCCTCGGGGAACCCCGGACAGTCCACGTTTTTGCTTCCTCTCCGCTCCCAGCGCACCTGTACCAGGTATTCGGTGTTTCTGATTGGACTGTCCGGGTTCCCCGAGGACTGGCTTGGGAAGCGCTGTTCTAAAGCTTGGCCCTAAGCTCCCCATTAGGACGTGTCAGCTCTGCTCCGCATGCTGCAGGGTTAGGCTCCTGCCCAGGGTCAGTAGCGATGTCACGCCATGCGGGGGACACTCAGGCTGCCGTGGGGTGACCTGCTGCTTCCTACGGCTCCATTCTTTCTCCCTAACGTACTGCTCCCTCCTCCTCTGGCGCTCCTCCTGGTTCTTCCTTTTACCGCGTTCCTCTCTGGCCTTCTGCATGGCTTCGAACTTATCTTTCACCTCCCCTTTGCCAAGCTTGGGCACATAGCTTCTCTGCACAGGCTTGCAGGTAGACAGGAGTTTCTTTACATGAGCCATGACCGGGTGGGACAGACGAGAGGACAGGAAAGGTCACATGAGTGTTGGTGCAGCGGTTGCCCACAAGGGGGAGTCCTTGAGGAATTCTTACCAAAGCCATTAACAGAACAAGGAACCAAATTCACACTTAAATTGCTGGCCATCTCTCAACTAGCAAACGAGGGGAGAGCTCCTTCATAATTTTCCCCCATGGCCGTAGTGTTACTGACAACGCAAACTGGACTCCCTTGAAAAAAGGTGATTAGAGTGCTCCTCTCACTCCCAACTGAAGGGGGCAGCTTCATTCTGCCCGTTTACAAGGACAGGTTAGTGGAAATGCATTTTAATATCTATTTATGTAGAAATAAATCTGCTCACTACCTATAGCTAATGAAATGGAGAAATGTAACAAAGTAAAAACTCCCATTAAAACTATATTCTGGCATAACCCACAATTTACATTTACGTACAGTTTCTCATTTGCAGAAATATTTAATTTTGTAGATGGCTAGTCCTCTGGTATCCTGAAAATAATATAGCTGTAAATAACTCCTTAGATTCTCTTTAAGTTGTCCAGCACGTTGTGCAGGTGTCGAGCCTGTGAGTGACCCCAAGGCCAACGGGAGCCAATGGGACGTCGTCGTCTTACCTCCTGTTTCTGAGCCACGTCAGTCATGGCTGCTGCACTCTGACACTCCGTCGGGACGGGAGGTGACGAGATGACGGACATCAAACCTCTGTTTGGCTGTGGAGAGGAGCTGTGGAGAGGAGCATACAGCCTCGGTTAGGCGCGACGGGAGGAATGGCGACAGGGTGCCGTCCACACGCAAGCGCATTCCTGTGGTCCGTCTCTCTGCTCACCCGGCAGCCCTGAAGGCTGCGGGTCCCTCCATGTGATGGTAAACACAGTGGGACTATGTGCTGCTGACAGAGATGCTCCTCCAGATTCGAGAAACAAACTCGGGTTTTGCAGTAAACATCCGGAGACTCTGTCTACCCGACTGACCACACCTCACATCTCAGCATTGAAGCAAAATGCCATTCTCTATCTTTCCAAATATGTTAAAACATATTTGACATAAGTGCAGTTACAAGTAAGTCTTTCTGAATGTTCTTTCATATCCTATCACACTTACTGTGCAGTGAAAGTGTGGATTATAAATATTGCGGATTAAATGGAAGCTGGCCATTCTGACCGTCCTGACTTGCTGTTTGTTGTCTCTGTTATTCTGTTTACGGGGGCATAGCGGAGCCTGAGGATCTGTGCTGAGCATGGCCGCGTTTGGCATTTGCCTCGTTCTCTGTTCTTCCGAACTGGACCCGTTGTAACAAACTTTTTCTTAAGACGAGTGAAGACCTCGGCGTAGAGACCACTCACAGTGAAACCTTTTGCAGTCGCGTTGTGTTGATTTAATAGTGGGGGCTGGAGAGTCCGAGGCCTCGGCAGCGAGTCACCTGGTGGTGTGTGGAGGCTATTCCTGTCCAACATGTGCGTCTGGCCATCGCTTAATGGCTATTTTTGCCAGGAGCTTTAGGAGCGTGACGTGGAGGTGTCAGTCATGGCTTCTGCCGCTTGTTGTCAGTAGAAGCGGATGCCCCCGGGTACTCGGGTCTAGTTATCGTACGTAGGCCCCCCGGGTACTCGCGTGTAGTTATCGTACGTAGGCCTCCCGGGTACTCGCGTGTAGTTATCATATATAGCCCCCCCCCCCCCCCGGGTACTCGTGTGGAATTATCGTACTTAGGCCCCCCGAGTACTCGCGTGTAGTTATCATACTTAGGCCCCCCGGGTACTCGCGTGTAGTTATCATATAGGCCCCCCCCTGGGTACTCACGGGGAGTTATTGTACGTAGGCCTCCTTGTACTTTCCATGACAAATGGCAGTGAAATAATGTAGCTTTTTAGTACAGATTTTGACTATGATCAAAAAAGTGATGATATTTAGCACAGATATACACTTCCAGCATTTAAATATTCTAACACTACTTAACATTTAAAAGGCTGCATGTATTTTCAATTTATATTATATTCTACAATGTATACCTGGTCACTGTGACCTTAAACAGACAAGCACTTCACAGAGTGCTGTAAAAAAACACAGTAGCTTGCTCTTGCTGGAAGATGAGGTATTTTTATCCCGCTGGATAAGATTTCACACTGATACAAGAGACCAGTTTAGACCAATGACGGCAAAAAATAGCTATCAAATCTGTTAGGTTAAACTAAGCAATTTAAAAACGTTCATATTCTTATTTGCTTTACACGAAGCTTATTAGCATCTTACGTGATTTGATTAACACTTTTAATGGGCTACTGCATGGTCACTTAAGGCATGGTATAGAACTAATTCAGTTAATAAAGTTACATGATTAAAGTTTAAAATAAAGTAAAAAGTATTCATTTTCTAGATGTAACCTGGTCGCAGTTATATAGGCGACCTGTACACGGTTGATCGCGTGCAGAAATCTACTGTAATCTAACTGCAGACATGCCGATTCATTCACGCTAAACCATCGCATTATTAAATAGGCTGGAGTAGGTGAATGAAGACTTAAGACTATTGAAAAGACCGAAAAATAACAGAACCGTACTGTATATATGCTTTCTAGACTAATTTAATAAGTTCCCTTTTAATTTAGGTTAATGTAAAAAAAAAAAATCACAAGAAAACATCCCAACTTTGAAAGTGTGATTTCGGCTTTTTGTTTTTGTTAGTGCACATAACTCTCCCGCATTGGTAATTGGCAATACCGGTCTTACCGTGTTCAGCAGGATCTGCCCCCACTTGTAATGAGGGTCTGAGGCGCGGACCTGCGGACGGGGCTGTGTCGTAATCCGGCCAAGTGCGCTGTGCGGAGTCCGGCCGCCGTATGGCTGAAGTTACGCCTCACAGGCGCTTTCCATAAAAGTCCACTTTCTCAGTCCATCTAGGGCATTCCGGGCGATCCGGCGCCGCCGGCAGCTGCTGCGGCTCCGCCCGCCCCCCGAGCGCCTTATCTCCGCACCAGACTGCCGCTCCGGCTTCACGCCTTTGCTGCTAACGCAGCCTTTGGTCTTATTCGGCGCCGCTAGTGCTGCTGTCACGCCGGCACTCCGATCCGAGCTGGGCGCGTTTCTAAACCGACGTGGAAGCGGCTGGCAGCGAGCGTCGTTATTATAGTTCAGGTGGTCATACTCAAAACTCATATGCAGGGCTGACAGTACTGAACGAACATCGGGGAGTTTAGTCAAGCACAGATGTGAACTGCTTGACTTTCAAACTTCCAGCTAGTTCCAGCTGTTTGATGCTGAAGCTGTATGTAGCCCTCAAATAAAAATCAACCCCGCGATCAATGCTGGCCCCTCTAGTTTGCCATGTTACAATGAAACGGATTATGACGCCCCTCCCGCGTTCCGGTGAAATCCCTCGCGGCTGATGCCAACATCTCACAGCTGGTCCCCCAGTTTCTGCATTAAAGCAGCCAGGACGATTGAGAGACGCTACACCAGATCGTTTACAACCCTTTATTGACATAGTGTGCATACAGATAAATAGTAGTGTACTGAGCTCTGCCAGAGGAAAAGCTACTTTATATATACATATAAAAATAAATAAGCCTCATTCACCTGTTTTGCTTTGTTCACTGGCTAGATCATGCTGCTCTCCACAGTGGTTCAATTATATGTGACCCTACCGCCCCCCCTCGGCTCGGAGTTCATTCTGTGTAGTCACATGGCACCAGGTGGTCGGCTATGTCAAGCTAACGACTCAGTGGCAAGTCAAGTCTCGAACCCGCCATCCGCCAGAGGAAGGAGGCAGCGCTGATCCGGACTTGGTTTGGCACCAGACACTGGGTGAGAGCCCACAGAATTGTGGCAAACCAAAATATGGGACGATAGAGGGGATCAGCTTCAAGCACCTGTTCATTTCCAGTGCTCGCTGGGGGGCAGACAGGCTTAAGCAGGTGTGTCCTCAGTAAGGCCCTTCAGACGCACACAGATTGAACCTTCAGCGTGAGGCACGGCCGAGGCTGCCAGGGGGTGGGGGGGTACGTGGGGCGGAGCAGCGCACGTCCTAGCGGACAGAGAATTGTGGGTTTTGGCTCGATGGTCAGTGAGGGACGACTCAGCAGAAAACACAAACACACAAGCTTCAGGTACAGTTCAAATAAAACAAATGCAGATACTACTGGACGAGTGTGAATTTCATATGCGACCGTCGTCTCCATGGAGATTATCCTGCAGGTCATGTGATTATGTCACAAGTCATATTTACAAGAGTTCTCATCTAGTTTAATAATGGTGATGGTCAAACACACAATTCCTTCATAACTTGAGAGTGCAACGGCTGAAGCAGGTATGGGAGGGGGGAGGACGGCTGATGTCCTTCAGTAAAACGTGGGGTTGGTGCCTTGGGGGGTGCTACTGCACCCGGGTTTCCAGCAGGGCGCTGGGCAGGAGGGGGCTCTGGGTGGCGATGCAGCCGGTGGGGGGGCATGGTGTGTCAGCACCGAGGTAGGCCAGCAGCAGGTCGGTGCGGCGCTGCAGCAGCTGCAGCACATCTTCAGAGAGGCTTTCCAGGCTGGAGTACCGTACCTTCTCCAGGTCAAAGATGTCCTTCAAGAAGAACAGCACCTGCTCCTGCAGAAACGGGAGGCCATGTTGGCTGGGATCCCACCAAAGGCTGCACCCTGAGAACGGACGATACCCGGCCCGTGACGGTACACGCACACCTCCCACTGCCCCTCCCAGTCCATGCCACCCCCCCAAGACGGGAGCTGCAGATACACAGCCAAACACTCCCCACGCCCTACGGGGCGAGTTGCCCTCTCAGACAAGCTCCAGGCTGCATCAACACTCAACGTCTCGGTGGTCAAAACTGCAGCTCATGCGATGACCCTGAAGGTACAGAAACCAGATCCCTCCCAAGACCTCTGGACATTAATCAACCTCCGCAAGGGGCTGCATAGAAAAAACTGACTCGGTAAAGCAAGCAAATCAATGTGAAGCGTTTGTACTTGTCTGGCACAGAGTGCAGGTACTCCAGGGTGTTAGTGATTTTCTGCAGAAATAATCAGTGCAACTTAGGGGAGGGGGAAAAAACAAGCCAGTGCCAAATAAAATGGAGGAAAGAAACCGAATCGCGGCTAAAACATGGAAACTGTTCTTCTGAGGTGCCTCATGTCTACAGCGGAAGTGGTATTTCACGAGGAGACTGGCACGGACGAACGGACCGTTGGAGGACGGTCTGTACCTTGAAGAAGCAGCACAAGTCATGAAGGGGACTTTTAGGGCCCAGGAAACCCCAGGCCAGAACGGGGCTGATGTGCTCGCAGATGGCGTAGAAATGAGCGATGAACCCGTCTGGAACCTGCGTCAGGGGTAGAAATTAGGGAGCAGTGTAGATATGCGCAGTAAGCATGCATGTGAGCACAGTGTACAGAGCACAGTGTACAGAGCACAGTGTACAGAGCACAGCGCACGAAGCACAGAGTGTGGGTAAGCAGGGGCCCAGGCTACCTTTATGTGCTGCCTCTTCTGTTTCAGGACAGACCAGCAACTCGAGGCCACGGCCTGTGAACAAAGCAGCAGCATTATGGTATGAAGCATTTCTCAGGGGATCATGGGAAATGGAACTGCTGCCCGTGAAAACATCCAGGGGGGGGGGAAGGGGCAGAGAATCTGGAAAGGTCTCAGCTTTGGGTTCTAACTGCACACGACTGGGGATATCTACGAAGCTCCCCAAATAAGGCCAGCAGCAATCGAAGCCAGGAAGGCAACGCTGACAAAGCCAGAGGAGAATGTTATTCCAGCAGATTCCCATTCAGCTTCCTGAAGGACATCAGTACGCATAAATTCCCGGGACAGGCTGCCATTCTGTTGCTTCCAATGGGCCCCTGGAATTTGTACTGGACAGACTGGGCCAGTCGAGACAATATGAAACACTACAGAGTTCAAAGTGCCGGCACGAGAGCTGCGGTGGCCATGCTTCACCCCCCCCCCCCCATGGGTCCGCAGGCATCACCTCCCTCTGCTAAGCTAATGCTAACACGGACACGTCAACACCAGGGGCAGATATAAAGGGGGTCCCTTATCGCCCTACATCAAAGTAATAAAAGCAGGAAATGGATTATGTTATTAATATTCCATATTTGAGGGACGACAGAGCGTGGTGCAGCCACCCCTCCCAGATGCTGCAGGCCACCCACCGTCTCTTTGAAGGAGACGTGAAGCCAGCGGTTGTTGACGACGTTTTGGATGGAAATGGGTGGATTCTCTAGGTCTTCGAAAGAGTCCATGAGAATGAAGTCCAGCACTATGTCATAGAAGTTCAGATGCTTCACCTTTTAGGGAAGAACACAAGATTCGATGATGTCATACACTAAAATGAATTCCTAGGGTGACAAGGCTGCATGAGCAGGAGGAAACCAGACTAAAGCAGACGGCCTCACCCCCCTCGTGGCCAGCTCCACCTCGGTGTTCTCCCAGTGGTCAGTTTGCTCCAGGAAGTTCATCATCTCCTCAAAAACCTCCTCAAATCTCTTTGGGCTCTACCAATGAGAAACCCTGGTCACTTCTGCTCTGTTGCATTTTAACAGGGCAAACGTCACCTTCTCGGCCTACCGAAACCTACCTTGTGTGCTTTGATAATGATGGAGGACAAAATCTTCTTCCCGGCGTCAGCCAGGAAGGCTCTGGTCGTACGGTCACACAGAATTACCTGCATATAGAGGTTTTCTGTTTGTAATACAGATACTGCTGCTGTACAGCTTAAGTACAAAAAAAAAACGCCTTTAAGGGCACCATTTATCCTGAAACTGGACCATCTGAAGCATTTCCGAGCTGCGCCTGAGGTTAAGCATCCTGCTGCGGAGCAGGCTTGAGTTATGTCAGCTTCCTACCTGACAGGCCTGCCGGACGCAGTGCAGTTTGGCCAGGAAGTCGGTGTCTCCCAGGCATTCGAGAATCTCCGTCCTGTTGGGACCAGAATCACTTACAGCCAGAAGAGCAACACAGTCACAGGAGAGCGAAAGGCCAGGGGCCCGTTACCTCAGCACCCTGCAGGAGACCTTGCCCTCCTCAGCCAGCCGGAGCGCCTCCTCGTACAGGGAGTAATGGCAGAGGGAGCCCAGGGTGTACGCATTCCGGAGGTCACGGTGCTCCGACAGCTGGGGTCGGGAAGAGCAGAGTGTCGTGTGACGGGGGGCCACATGGCGAGTCGGACCACAACACCACTGTTTACCGTCCCCGGGGACTGCTCTGACACGCTACCCATAGGCTACCAAGCGGAAAACTCTTGAATATTCCGGATCTTGGAATACGGACTGTCAGGATCCGCTGGGCCGGCACGGCGGGTCTGTTTATAAGTCACTGGAAATGCAGGAACAACAACCTGCATGTGTATCGGCACTTGATGACAGAAAAACGGTGCAGGGGCTATTTGTGGACCCTCCTGTGGGGGGGGGGCGAGGGGGTCAGGGACTCTTTCCTTATCTGCATTCCAGGGCACTTAACACCAGAGCCACGTTAAACATTGACGCGACACTGGATTCAGAGCATTATCTGTGCTGATGACCCTCTCGTAAGCAAACCAACTGCCACAAGCAGCGTCTCTGCATTCCAGAGGACTCCCTGGGCCTGGGTTCTAGACAAAGGTCTTCAGCCGCTACTTTAATAGAAGTCCTCATTAGGGCAGGTTACGGGCACGGCACTTACGGCACCGGGAAATGGACTTAATGAACACATTTCGCCAGGTTTTGTCAGGTTTATGTGGCTTTAATGATGTCATTTCTTTGAGGTCAAAGTTCCCAGGACCAACCTTGATCTGCATTGTTATGGAAACAATCCAGAAACCTTGGGGGGGGGGTTACAAATGTGTTTATCACCAATCAGTACACAAGAATGCAGCTTTGACAGCTGCAATGGACCTGGCTTGGTTCAGGGCTGGTTCTGGAACTATCATTGACCCTGTAGACATGGAGACACGCGAGGCTGTGGGCTGGGTTTAGGGGAGGATTTTGGGGAGCCCCCACCCTGGAGTTACCCTACGAGAAACTGAAGCACCCAAAAAGACGGGAGGGGGGGGGGGGAGACTCAAAATAACACCACAGCTGCCCCCCCCCCATCCCCCACAGACACACACCAAGTGTCACGCCAATCAAGGCCATGAGAACTAGGGTCGCATAGCGTCCAGACAAAGGCAGCCTGGTAGGACCCACGCGTGACGGCCTCCCCACGCCTGACACCGTGCTCTGGGTCCATCATGTCCACAGTTAGAACCTGACAAACAGCAGTCACACTTAGAGGACTATCCTTCTTGGACATGTCGAGTCAAACCTCAACAGAAAACATATTCCCAGAAATTCAGGATCCTACACTATTTAAAAATGACCTCGTGGAAGTAGAACGAGGAGTACGGCGCCTCCACAACCCCCCCCCCCCCCCCACTGGGACCCACCCAGCATCTCGGCAGTATGGCCCTGCTGCCGATGGGCGCTCCGTTTCCCAGAATGCCTTTCTGCCTGAGCAGGCGCCAGCAGTGAACAAACAGACAGCCCCTCCCCCCAGATTAAAAAAAGAGTTTCAGGTTCCCCCCCAGCTCAGGATGAGCGATGTTTATCTGTGGTGCGACACACTCTGCGTAATGCATCACCATGACACCCAGGTGCACGTGCAGGAGCAGCGGCAGCGATGCCACGCCGTGAACAGAAGGGGGCGCTCACCTCGGCGGCCGACACAAAGGAGTCCGTGGAGGCGATGCTCATGGTATCGCGCAGGCCCAGCTCGTCCGAGTCCTCACACACCGTGACGTCCGTGTCCTTGTCTGCAAACGACGTCAGATACGTGAGGTCGTGCTCTGGACATTTCGGTTTTCCCTGGAACGAGCGGGTCTAGTGCTATGTCACAGAGACCTTCAGTGGGTGGTACGTAGCTTTATGTTCCACCTTCTGTAATACCTGGAGAACCAGGTTCCTTTTAGTCTAAGAGTGAACAGAGCTTATGGAACATGGAGATGGCGGGGTGGGACAGCCAGGGTCTTTGTGGGGCCGCGCGCTTCCTCACTGGAAACAAGCGTACGGTATGTGCAAAGTCCAGGAGAACAAAACTAATCAGAAAGAGCATGGAAAGCTCATCCAGAAGAGGCTGGAAACATTGGAAGCAATTGAGCTATTTTAGGAGGGTCCATCTGTCACTGAAATGTTACATGTGAGACAGGCTGCACCCTACAGGAGTCACCCAGAAGCTCACGTCAAGCCCGGCCAGCTCGACTTTCCGTTTGAAACGAGGAAACCAGACAGAAGACGGAGCCCGAGAGGTTCCTCAGACCCCGAGATGCCCCGCAGAGCTTCGGTTGCTGTTTGGGGTTTCTGTTTAGTCTGGGCTGCCCAGCCGGACCCCGGCGTGGTTAAGGAGGGCTTCCGGGATCCTGCCCCAAAGCCCCCGCAGAGCTCTGCACGGCTGCGGACACCTGGCAGAGAGCCACTGACTCTCAGCGTATCAGCTTTCGGCTACTTAATGTGGCTGCTATCCGTTACCAGGGCCCCGGATATCAGGAGCGCAGAGGGGGCGTAAGCAGAGCCTTGCTAATCATTCGGGAATTTCTCACTGGGGACGTCAGCAGTGCGGGTCACCTCCAGAGACGTAGGCGGTAACGTCTTCAGGGTGACAGGCTCACTGGTCAGCTTCTGCCTCCGCTTGTAGGGACTTTCCATTTCTATGCATGTTACCAGTGCATCCAGTGTTGATACCATCACAGCCTCATATGTCACCTCTAAACACACAGCTGCCCTACCTGTGGATAATTATTAGTAGCTAAATATAGTTTTCCCAGCAGTGGCACGACTCCTTCCGGGGGTGGAGGTCACTGGGTCCTCATCGCTCCCAGGTCTCACTGGTCACCAACGTATGTTACACTTAGACCAAGCAGCAAGGAATACCCTGAGAGAGCTGGTCATCGAGCTGTAGGTGCTCCCGGCGTGTGCTGGAGTGGTCATGTGACATGCCACCCCCTCCCCCGCTGCTCTTCAGCACTTGCTCAGATCCCGTTAGGAAGGCCGAGGCAGCGAGGAAGTGTGTCTGACTCCTGCTGTTTTCAGAGGCGTGTCGACTTCACTTTGGGGGGCGGGCACACAAGCTCCTGAACGCCAGAGGCAAGCGCCCTCCTTAACCACTACGGCTCAAATGATCAACCGGGAAAGATAACACAGAAAAACACGCCAATACGATACGCGAGACGGCTCTATTCCACAAGCTTAGAAAAGTCAAACTCGAGGGATCGTTCGGTCACTTCAGGCATGAGATACAAGGTGTAAAATCATGGCTCACTGGGAAAATCCAGCAGATGACCCATTTTACTTTGTACATGTCAGTGAGTGAGACCAGGCCCCCTAGTGGTGGGATGAACATGAGCGTGTCACCGACCCAGTGTCTTAGCTGATGAGACCAAAGATGAGGCCACTGGAAAGTTTGGTGGCTTACTACACCGACACAGCAACGACATAGAGTAAGCTCTCCGTTTCTAGAAGGTTCCGCGGCCTGAAAAGTTCAGCTGGTGCTAAGACAGGTGACAGAGTATGGAATGCAAGCGCCCAGAGCTAATTTTGGCTTGTTGGGGGAGGAGGTTCCGCTTTTGTGGTGGAGGGTATTTGCGAGGAAAGGCGACGGCCGGTGGCGCCCTCCAGTGAGGGGAGAGTGGCTGGGGCCTGATCTGTGTGCAGCTCTGCATTTAAAACTCTCCAGAATATGACAATTATACATTTTTCTGTAAACCGCTAGGAAGAGAAAACAAAGATCAGCCAGTGCGCCAAGACGTCTCCTCTGGACCTACAGGACATCTAGGTTTTGCAGCTTCGATCAGAAAACATTCACGTTCATCCTGAGGTGACAAACCTCAAACACCCCAGACGTGGAAGGTTAAGGAGCCCATGGAGAACATGCCGGCATGTGTGTCGACGCCGTCTGCTAGGCAGCGGGCACACAGATTCACAGGCACGGGCCGAGAATGCCATCCGAGCACCAACCATTAAGGACGGTTGCACAAATTAAACTTCACAACTTTTTCCATGAAACTAGGCATCGAGAAAGAAAAAGTTTTTGTTTTCCAAAAGTGCCCATTATTCACTTGAATAGTTCTAACTGTGTACGTTGCTAAGTAGTTCGTATCCCTGCCTTTCGGAAACGCTCCCCAGGCTGGGTTCAGGCCCCTGTGAGTGAGAGGTCACCTCTGTCACGCGGGGTATGGCAGCCTGGCCCCCCCCACCCACCGCAAAAGCTTTGCTGCCTCCCACATTGTTCTTTTGAGAAAGCAGGGGCAGTGAACCCCTGGCACAACTGAGGGTTAAGGGCCATTGGTGACATCACTGCTGACCCTAGAATTTGAACCAGTGACCATCCAATCACAGGAACCAGAAAGCAGAGTGATGACTGGGATACATGGCTGAGGTATGAGCAGATCAGGTGTCTAAGCGCGGCCATCACACGGACTGAACATTCAGCGGGGTTTCAGAAAGAAGCATTACGTTTAAGGGTCTCGGGGGTGTCCGTGGTCTTCCGTGGGAGTCACGCCGCGGTCGAGACTCACCGATATCGTTGGCGAGCGAAGCTGCGTCCGACAAGCCCAGTGCGGCCTCAAACTCCTCCTGCAGCCGGTACGCTCTCTGCAGCAGCGCCTCCAGTTTGTGAATGAACTCGGCACTGATGATGTCCTGTGAGGGAGACGCACACGTGTGCACGCTCTGCTGCGTTCCTGCCCCCCCCCCCAAAAAGCCCCAGCGTAACCCCACCCCCATAATCACACCGCCTACATTCCTGTCTGTCCTACCTGTAATTTTTTTATACTGTTTTTTTAATCATCCTGATTTATTCCTGAAGTCACTTCTTTTACATTTATGTACCAAGACTTTAATATTTAATCTAAAGGCAGGGAAGAAAGCCCTTAATATCATGGAGAGAATGTTACAGTGCTGGCTGAAGGGTAACCGCTTTATTAGTCCATCCTTGAAGCACGTTATTAAAAGTTAGTTTTTTTTTCTTCGGGCATCTGAAAAGCCCCCTTGTCAGCACCCACCTCCACGCTCTCCTCGGCGATGGCGTCTCCAGCCCCCAGCTTTACGGAGCCACAGCCGGCCTCGTCCTCCGCCTGCCGACTGCGGAAGGTCAGCGCCTGCTCCCAGCGCCTCAGGGCCTCCTCAAACAGCTCCATGCCTGGCCGGAGGAACACGTGAAGGTTTAGGAGGTTTGGGAACGTCGCTTAAGACCAGCCAGAAAACGGCTGGCGATGCCCAGGAGGCAGGGGGTGCTGCTGAGCCCTCACCCATCAGGTAGAGGTTCTCGGGAGTGGTGACCGGGATGTTGACGATGTCGCATGCGTCACTGTCCTCACAGCCCTTGTCCCAGGGGCTGGAGCTGTTGACATAAGCGCAGCTACTAGAGGAGTTGGCACTCTTCACCTTTGGGGGGGGAAACGTAACCACAGTCAGTGACGGCACACCCTGCGGCCCCCACCAACCTGTTATCTCCCCACTGCACCGGTCAAAATCCTACAGAGGTGCCTCAGGATAACAATGTTTTACTTCAGCACCTGCACAGAGACTAAATTCAGCCATCGGTCTAATCCAACTACAAAACATTAACCCAGAACGTCTGCAGCAAACACTGGTCATCCTACGTCAGACAAAAAACACCCAACCGAAACGATGCCATGTGCATCCACTGGCGCGGTGCTGGGAGATGGTCACGTGACCGTGAGTCACATGACCACGCGGCTTACCGAGGTCAGACTCTGGAGGGAGCTGGAGAGTTTGCTGTACAGACTGCCGCTAGGAAGGGCGTGACTGTAGGACTGGCAGCTTCTGGAGTTCAGAGAGAGGCTGAGGTTCTGCCGGCTGCTGGCTCGGCTCGATTCTGCAGCGTGAAGGCGGATGGCGGTCAGAAAATGGTGCCCGTCGCAGCCCGTGAGGTGCTCTAGGCAAGCTTCATCGCTGACGCCCCCCTCCCACGCCACATGCCCATGGTTGCCAAGTCAGCGCCTACTCAGAAAATGGAGCCACAGTGTCTTAGTGGCCCCACCATTTGGACTGGTTCGTTTTTGCCAGTCACCCTGGAGCGCACAGATACCCACACATCCATCCACATGGCAGCTTCCAGGTTTCAGCTGTGGAGCCCCAACTGTTACGGCCCTAGAGTACCACCGACGTGCGGTGATGTAACGCTCCCCCCCCGGCGCATGCCTCACCTTTCTCCGGTGGCTCCGTGGTCAGGAAATCGAAGTGTCTCTGCTCCCATGGCGACTGGACCTTATTCTTGGGCTTCCTCCTCCGTAAATGACGTGCGAGGAAGAGGAGGGAGATAGCGCTGAAGGCGCTGATGGCCAGGAGCTTCTTGGTGCCGGCGCTCAGCCGCACCTGCCGTGAGGGATGCTGGGTGAGGGTTTCTCTCCACCAGGCTGGCCACACGCATCAGGAGACCATGCAGAAGAACAACTGCTGCACACGTCGAGGTTACGTAACACCAACGCTGAATGCGCACCCAGGGATCTTGCAGTCTGACCTCAAGCTACCAAGATGCTCCACAGACTGATATCTGACCTGATAACTACACCTTTGTCCTTTCAGATTCAGAGATTCTTCTGGCTTTTCATCTCCATCTGACTACGGACCACTAAAGACATGAGCTCCAGCTGCTCTCAGAGCAGATGTGTGCTGGTCGCTCACCAGCCTCCGCAGCTCGACACTCTGTCCTCTGCTGTTCAGTATGCTTCAGTCACCCGTCAACCGTTTCCGTTTACGCATGAATAACCTCGTACTGCTAAATCACAAACACATACTGCTTAACTTCAAACACACCAAGGCACACCTTGGGGAAGATGGTGGCACAGGAGGTAGTGATATCATTCGGCAACTGGAAGGTTGCAGGTTCAAGCCCTGGTTCCTTCTGACCCCATCAAAGTGTCCTTGAGCAAGACACTGAACCCCAAATTGCTCCCAGTGTGCAGGTTGGCGCCTTGCATGGCAGCCTCCACCACTAGCATGTGGATGGGTGAAGGTGAGGCATGAATTGTAAAGCGCTTTGAGTACTCGTAGGAGTAGAAAAGCGCTATATAAATGCAGTCCATTTACCATTTACCTACGACGACGCGCGAAAGATATCAGGGACTAATCGCACAGAGACAGAGGCGGTGCTTTCACAGTGCCATTTCATTTCCAATTCAGTCAGTTTCACTTGTTAATTCATATTTTGAAATACCATTGTTTGACACTTGAACATTCCTCAGAAAACAAAATACAAAGGCCGTCACTGTAGCCTCTACCCCAGGCGGACGCAGGACAGTGATTAGCCTCTCTTGCATTGGCACAGGGGTGGACGTTGAACAACCTCCATCCATCCATCCATTTACTTCCGCTTATCCGAGGTCGGGTCGCGGGGGCAGCAGTCTCAGCAGGGAAACCCAGACTTCCCTCTCCCCGGCCACTTCCTCCAGCTCCTCTGGGGGAATCCTGAGGCGTTCCCAGGCCAGCCGAGAGACATAGTCCCTCCAGCGTGTCCTGGGTCTTCCCCCTCCCAGTGGGACATGCCCGGAACACCTCACCAGGGAGGCGTCCTGGAGGCATCCTGACCAGATGCCCGAGCCACCTCATCTGACTCCTCTCAATGCACAGGAGCAGCGGCTCTACTCTGAGTCTCTCCCGAATGACCGAGCTCCTCACCCTATCTCTAAGGGAGAGCCCAGCCACCCTGCGGAGAAAACTCATTTCGGCGGCTTGCACTCGCGATCTCGTTCTTTCGGTCACTACCCACAGCTCGTGACCATAGGTGAGGGTAGGAACGTAGATCGACTGGTAAATCGAGAGCTTTGCCTTTTGGCTCAGCTCCTTCTTCACCACGACAGACCGATGCAGCGCCCGCATCACTGCTGACGCCGCACCGATCCGCCTGTCGATCTCCCGCTCCATCCTTCCCTCACTCGTGAACAAGACCCCGAGATACTTAAACTCCTCCACTTGTGGAAGGACCTCCTCCCCGACCTGGAGAGAGCACTCCACCCTTTTCCGGCTGAGGACCATGGTCTCGGATTTGGAGGTGCAGATTATCATTCCAGCCGCTTCACACTCGGCTGCAAACTGTTCCTGTTCCTCCCAATCACGCCACTCCAGGTCTCGCTGTCATTGCCCACGTGGGCATTGAAGTCCCCCAGCAGAACAAGAGAGTCCCCGGGAGGAGCGCTCTCCAACACCCCTTCCAAGGACTCCAAAAAGGGTGGGTATTCTGAACTGCTGTTTGGTGCATAAGCACAAACAACTGTCAGGACCCATCCCCCCACTCGAAGGCGAAGGGAGGCTACCCTCTCGTCCACTGCAGTAAACCCCAATGTACAGGCGCCCAGCCAGGGAGCAATAAGTATGCCCACCCCAGCTCGGTGCCTCTCCCCGTGAGCAAATCCAGAGTGGAAGAGGGTCCAACCCCCTTCAAGGAGACTGGTTCCAGAGCCCAAGCCATGCGTCTAGGTGAGCCCGACTACATCTAGTCGGAACTTCACAGCCTCGCGCACCAGCTCAGGCTCCTTCCCCACCAGAGAGGTGACATTCCATGTCCCTAGAGCTAGCTTCTGCAGCCAAGGATCGGATCGCCAAGGTCCCCGCCTTCGGCCACTGCCCAACTCACACTGCACCCGACCCCTATGGCCCCTCCTATGGGTGGTGAGCCCATTGGAGGGCGTTGAACTACCTAAATTCTTAAAATCAAAACTTAAGTACCTTTCTTGCAGGTACCAGCATAAAGTCTAAGTCACTTTGGCAGCCAAGCTGGTCTTATAATCACAGGAAGAGAGACTCTGAAATGACAAACACACGACGGAGCCAATCAGCAACCCGCCTGTGAGACGGTGGGTGGCTGCTGGTCCAGCTTACCTGGGAAATGCTGTGATAGACGGAGAGAGGCAGGTCAACCACCCTCAGGGTCACGGCCTTGAAGGAAGACTGTGAGCTGCCGACGGAATTCTCTGTCATGGTGGCCATTCTCCCAGTCACATGTTACCCCATATTGTCCATCTATGGAGAAACATAGAGTCAGAAGATGGGAACGTTCACACTGAAGCCTGCTGGGCAGCAAACGGAGTCTGAGGCACGGCACCTCACCACCAGGCAGCAAATGGAGTCTGAGGCACAGCACATCACCACGAAGCAGCAAGTTGAATCTGACTACCAGGCAGCAAATGGAGTCTGAAGCACGGCACGTCACCGCAAGGCAGCAAACGGAGTCAAGGCACGGCACCTTACTGCCAGGTTCCCTGGACAGAGAACCTCCCTATCAGGACAGGTCACCCCCTCCACTCCACTGTCTGTCCCCAAGATTAATTATTCCTCTTCTGCTAAGACCTTAAACAACCAAGGGTGCTCCTCCCCCCCCCAAAAAAAAATGTCCAAAAAGATCATACGGACCCAGTGAACTCAAAAACAGGTGTTTTGTAAAAATAACCCCTTTCCCAGTCCATGTTATGAAATGTGCCATATACGACCTGCTGGACTGTTCATGCTGTTCCAACTTGTTAATTTCACCTATGAAATTAGGACAGAAAAGAAGGAAAAACCAAATCTTTGCTATATTCTCATTTTCAAAATGCATTTATTGAGTTTTCCTTTTCATCATTCACCATGTGCTGGCAATAAAACACAGACTTCAAACATGCCAACCCATCAAGAAACAGGTCAAGTGAACAGACCTGCAAAAAGGTGTACTGCACTACACACAGAAAGTTTACTTGTGGTGGGTTGTAAGGTCTAGTGCATCACCTGTATTCCCTCTGCTTTTGTCTGAGGCTGATGCTGTGCACATGGAACATGATCATTACAGTTGCCAGAAAAGTTTCAAAACATCCAAAACCTAGTTGTACATGTTCTATAACATCTATAACTGATGATGCAAAATTTCTGCCAGTTACCTGTTCACAGCTTGACAGGTGAATCTTTGCAGCATGCAACCTCAAAACGCGTTGGGGGCCATATTTAATGTGGAAAAAAATCTGGCTAATTCAGTCAGTAATCACTAAATGTCACTGTTACTAGGTCGTATATGGTACAATGAGCTGTAAAGCAAAAAAAAAAAAAAATCTTAACATTGATTAGTGGGTTGAATGTAAGGCAGAAATAAAAGGAAGGGTCGTATATGACTCAGTGGGTTCCCCAGGGATATATACCTTTGCATTTAAATTATTGATTTGTGCCACCCATCATATCAAACTCTCATAGGCATTTGTGAACAACACAGTATTAAATTACATTATTTACTGAGAGGAGGATTTAAAACAATGAATGCGCCACATCTGTCATACGTCGAATTTACAGAAATGATATCATTTATAACCCTAAAATGTCATGTCTACGTAAGTGCGTTTGTTTTACCCTTAGACAAACTGGTCTGGCACGCCAAATTCCCGATCAGCTGCCGTGGTCTGTAACAGCAAGCATGCACTGGCGGGGACAGCATTCGGAAAGCATCTGCACCGCTTACCCGGGGAGAGTGCTCACGCGGCGGCTCCTCCGGGCACCATGCATGCAGGACAGCGGCTGCAAATACCGCGCTGAATCATCGACACTCTGCCGGCCGCACAGGTCAATAAGTACCTATCGGATGTGATCAATAATGCGGTCTAGTGTGCAGCAGGACGGGTAATCCGAGCAGGACAAAGGGCGTCGCGGCCCCGAAGCGCAGCTGTGTCGCGATGCTGTCGGACACAATGGCCGCCCGGCTGAATGGCAGCCCGACCGACGGATATAAAGGCAGGTCTCCTTGTATCTTTAGACGGTGCCGGAGGAAAAGCGGTGACTTGCCTTGTGAAGCCCAGTCTCTGTCCCTGTCGCTCGATCAGCCCTCGGCGATGCGCTATCGGAGCGACACGAACCGCTTCCTGGGTCAGAGCGAAAGCAGCTGCCGAAGGGAGCTGCGCCGGGGCTCCGGTGTTCCCACGTGGCGCACTGGCTCCAGCGCTGCCGTTCCGGCTTAAACGGCCTCTTTTTCACTTTCAAGCTTCCACATAATCTGACCTGCATATGCATTTTATCACATGAAATACAATTCCTAGTGGAGTTAATTTATTCAGGATCATAATCAGAACTCATTTAAATTTATTCTTAATATGTCCCAACATAACAGGATTGTTTGTGGTCCAGTGCCAAAAATGAAGCAGAGGATAAAATTACGGGATATACAGGGGGAATATTTCATAGAACACTATGAGCATAAAATGGGAACACACATTAACAGAAGACACAATGCAAGACCTCTTAAAACGATAAGTTAAAACACTAACCTCTAGTTATTTCTGTTACATTTCAAGATTTATAACAGGGTTGCACGCAAGTCTCACGTATCTGACGTGATACACACGCTTTCAGATTCTCACACTCATTCAAGAAAACTTACAGCAAATCTATATTATTCCATTATAATCCTAAAGTTTAAAAAGCGTTGGAGTAGTTTGCAAACCATACAGACTATTTACAAGGTAATTAAACTGTTACATACATGTAAATGTGTGTACAGATTTAACTCGAATAAAAAAATCTCATTCCTGCCTGCTGACAAAACTGACAAAACTATTATAATAGATTTTGATCTAAATCATTATAAACGAATCGTCATAATAATTTATTAGACCACTTAGTTTACTATATGATTTGAATGGAAATGTTTGTGCGTGCTCACTATAATCGAGAAAAAAACCCTTTCTTTGTAAAAAATAATTAGGACATTTCTGCGTGAAGTATCCTTTTTTTATACGTTTTCGTTTTAGCGCGTCTGTGTTTTTTTTTTTTTTTTTTTTAAAGGTTTCATTTCAACAAATGCACCACCTGGGGGCGCTGGGGCAGGGGTGTGTGACAGCTCAGTGGCGTTCGGGCGGTGACAACGCGCCGCTGCCAGGGTCACTGCGTGCCACACCATCACCGTACGGTAGGGAGCACTGCTTGCTACGCCATCGTAATACTGTAGGGAACAGTGGCCCTGTATCGTCGGCGGCCACTAGGTGGCAGTGCGGCGCAGCGCTGTCACCGGACCGGAAGGAGCTGCTTCGTAACACCATAAGGCGGAGCAGAGCGACCTGGAAGCCCAGATCCGTAGCTGTCACCGCCGCCCTGGAAAGATTCCCGGTTGTTTTTCTTTAAAATTGGGGAGGATCGCTTCTCGGACGCGGCCTAGCCGGTGATCAACGCGGCGGCGAGCTGAGCGACGCAGGCAGCGGACTGCTCTCTATTCGGGAGGTAAGGCGGGGCATTGCGGGGCGGGGAGCAGGGGCGGCCGTGTTCCGACGCCTCCACTCGGCGACAAGCCACCCGGACCCCCTCGGGGTGGAGGTCGGTCATCTCGGGCCGGGATGATGGTGTGTTTTTGTGCCTTCGATTCTGGCTTCATTGGCACGGTTGCGGTCTCAGTATGTACCGAATACCGCTCGGAGGCCCCGCGGCGGGGCTGGCGGACCCGGCCGAACCGGGACCGCGCCATGTTACCGTGCTTGCCGGCCGGCGGACGGGCGGTTACGGCAGTCTAGTGAAGCAGTAAGACACCAGGCGCCGGCACGGAGCCTGAGGGCAGGAGGTAGTGCCCCGCGTAGGCCGGTCATCGTGGACCGGGCCTGGGTGTTGGACCGGGTCGGGGTCCTGGGGCTGTGTGGTTAACCGGGTCCCGCACCTTAATGCTGCAGCCGCCGGCATTTCATTGCAGAAGCTCGGCTGGTGCCGGGATGTCGCCGGCCCTGCTGATCCCGAATGGAGGGATGGGGGCTTCAGAATGGAGGGATGGCGGGTCTCAGATACGCGACCCCTGTCGGGCAGACCCAGCCTCTAAGATCAGTAAAACCGGACCCACCGGTCCGGCCTTCTTCTCAGCGTCTTAGTGCTGTTCTTATCTGAGGAGTTGGTGTCTTTGGGCACAAAGCTGCCGGGTCGCACGCAAACACAATCGAGCCCTAATTTGCGGGATAAGCGGGCTCCCCTCTCCGCCCGTTCCGGCTCCGCTTCGGGCTCGTTCGCTCAATGCACCATTGAAAACGTGTGCTAACTCGCCCATTGTGTCAGGCGAATGAAATCGGGCTGCCTGCTCCGTGGCGGCCCTCCTGAATGAGTGCCGATTCGGGCTGTTTATCCCCGGGCTTTGGCTGCGGGCCACCGGATTCAGTGCTGTAATGATGACATGCTTAAAGACCCCCGCTGGCGACACAGGTGTGATCTTCCTCCTGCTGGCATGGGAGCTGCGCTGGGCTATGTGGGTGGGGGGCGGGTGTGTGTGTGCGTTTCTCCTACTGACATTCACCCCTTTAACAGCTCTTTATGCGTGATGTAGCCTCCACACCAATAGAGGAGCCCGATGTTGCTGGTGGGCCCCACTTTGATTTTGTCTCCATGCTCATGATGTCCTTGCATCTGCGTGATGACGCTGTTCTGTGCAGATGTTCCACCTACAGGCCCCGCATGCTTGAAGCCGGCACGCATTTTATGTCAGGGTGATGATGCTGTTCTGTGCTGACGTTCCAGCTGCAGGCCCTGCGTACTCGAAGCCGCCACGCGTTCTGCGTCAGGGTGACGATGCCGTTTTGTGCAGACGTTCCACCTGCAGGCCCCGTGTACTCGAAGCCGTCACGCGTTCTGCGTCAGGGTGACGATGCCGTTCTGTGCAGACGTTCCACCTGCAGGCCCCGCGTACTCGAAGCCGCCACGTGTTCTGCGTCAGGGTGACGATGCCGTTTTGTGCAGACGTTCCACCTGCAGGCCCCGCGTACTCGAAGCCGCCACGTGTTCTGCGTCAGGGTGACGATGCCGTTTTGTGCAGACGTTCCACCTGCAGGCCCCGCGTACTCGAAGCCGCCACGTGTTCTGCGTCAGGGTGACGATGCCGTTTTGTGCAGACGTTCCAC